GGAGAATAAAAGGCTTTCCCACATATCTTACATTCGTGAGGTCTGTCTCCAGTGTGCATTCTCATGTGCCATCGAATGCTCTTCCGCTGAGCAAATGCTTTCCCACATTGCTCACATTCATAGGGTTTTTCTCCAGTGTGCGTCCTTTCATGTACTTGAAAGGAACTGAAATAAATGAATCCTTTCCCACACTCCTTACACTCATATGGCTTCTCTCCTGTGTGAGTTATTTCATGGACTCGAACAGAACTGGACCTACGAAAAGCTTTACCACATTCTTTACATTTATATGGTTTCTCTCCAGTGTGAATTCTTTCATGTTTACGATATAAACTGAGATAAGCAAACGCTTTTCCACAAAGCATACATTTATGAGGTCCACCTCCACTGTGCGTTACCATGTGTCTTTGAAAGCGTGTGAGAGAACTGAAGGTTTTTCCACATTCCTCACAATCACAGAACTTCTTTCCAGTGGGAGACCTTTCGTGTGTTCCAGAGGAGTCCCGGTAACTGAAGGCTTTCTCATGCTGCTTATGTGTATATGGCCTTTGTCTACGTTCCTCATACTCAGATGGCTTGTGTCCTGTGTCAGCTCTGACAGCCTTATTTAAAGTTGAATGACCAATGGAGACTTTTTTGCTCACACTGCTTTCACATGGTTTTAATCCAGGAGGAGTTTTCTTTTTCAGCATGTGATGTGAATCCAGATTCAACGTTTCTCCACACTGACTACCTTCTTTACTTGTAAAGAGTCTCTCTCCGACAACACTTCTGTGGAAAACAAGACGCACATTATTAAGGCTTTGTCTATAAATGATTTTATTTATTAATAAGCATTATACTTGCATTTTTAACTTTCGCAAGGAGAGAGTAGGCTTTTGGTCCTGCATGAATTGTTTCAACATGAATGGACCGACCACATGCTCTGTCAGATGGCTAGTCCATACAAATTATAATAAAATAATATTTATGTAGGGTTTCTTAATACTGTCTCCAAGTAAACTATTTCAGAAACATCAAACATCTGTGTCAAATTTAAGTATATATTTTCAGAGCAATTTTTCTAAGAATAAATTAAAATGATGTTGGGATTATTAATTTTTATGGTTTTCTAAAAAACATTTCTTGACATTTTAAAATTCTTTCCAGAGATATGTATTTGTCCTCTGAATACCAATTACCTTAGATTTCTCCTGGGAGTTTTACACTCATCTTCCATGTTCTGGTCTTTCCACTTTTTTCCTAAAATACAGACCCAGAAATATAGTCCTGAATTATTATAAAAACAAAAGAAATATTAGATTCTATGTTCATGGTTCACTGCGGCCATGCCTGATGTATGCACCAAAGTATTCTCTGTGCACATTCCAAATCACTCAACAGCACTTATGAGCAAGAAACTCTTGTTCTCTAAATCACTGAGTGAAGGAATGTTGTCACACCCACCTACAGAGGCCAGGTTCCTCAAGGTTTCCTGCATCACATCTCTGTACAGATTCTTCTGAGAAGGATCCAGCAAAGCCCACTCCTGGGGGGTGAAGTTCACAGCCACATCCTCAAAGGTCACGGAGTCCTGAAACATCCCACATGGGTAGAGGAGGCTGAGTGAGACCCACAGCCCTGGGGACCTGTGCTCTGTTTTGCTAAGACGTGATGCTGTAGACTCCAAACATTTGTTCCATGACTTGGTCATGAGACTCTTAACTCTCCATCCATACTCACTTCCTCCCACACAGCAATTCTGATGCTAGAATGGAACTATTTGGTTATGCAACAGCAGAGTAGAAAAATGTGTCTTGTTGGTGAATCCAGGGAGAAAGATGTGTTGCCT